GTAATAAAATTATTTAAACGGTTAAGAGCTATTGTATCAAAATCATCAGACAAATCATTATCCTCTAAGGACACTCTATTTATAAACATATTATTATAAGATATAACTATAAGGCATAAATCGCTTAAAAATCCAGAACTACCCTTATCTATAAATTCTATCATATCATTTTCACACATATCCTTTAGTATATTTAATTGTTCTGTCAATCTTCCTTCCGCATGAGTTAAAAATTCATCGCACAATGAATCAGCTGGTTCTTTTAATTGCAACAGAAGATCTACGTTTTCTGCCAAAGCTTTAGTTGGCACATCTCTCTTATGAAATTGCATTCTTAATTTAGATTTAAGTTCTTCTAAAATTTCCTCACAATCCTTTTGTATTCCTTGGAAGGAAGGCATGTTACCATATTGATCAAGTACACGTTGTGCATTTATATAATCTTGTACTGCCTAAAATAACAGAAGAATTGTAAAATTCTTTTTAAAAAATGAATTTTTTTTTATACACAAATTAAAAATATTACTTGAGTATAATTTTCTTCGTTCATTTTCTCTTTTAAATTGCCCGGTAATTTAAATAGAAACTGTAATTTTTTTAAAAGAGTATGAACGGAGGATAGTCTAGCAATTTGTTGTCTAGTCCCTTGTAAGGTTGAAGAAATTTGTTCTGAAAAGGACGTTATACTATCCATGTTCTTTGCAAGTAAATCCATACTATCTTCCATTCCTTTAAAATCAGTTTTCATCTGAAAATGTAAAAAAAAAAAAAAAAGAATCATTTAACGATCATTTACTATTAATTTATAAATATTGAACTATTCGAACAACCTTTCTAATAGTATCTGTTGCTGATATAAATTTATTATAATTTTCATATACTAATGTTTGCATGTCTGAATGCAAAGTTTGTGTATCCCTTTTAATTTCAGCCTCATGATCCATAATCTGTTTTAATGTATACTCCTGCAAAATAGAAAAGTATTTGTAATTGAAATAATTGAATTTGAAAATTTTAAATTGACATAACGTAATAGTGACATACTTTTAATAACTTGTGTAAGTAACTATCTGGATTAAAATATTGTCCATTGATATCATATTGATTGTTAGAATTCTCTGCCATGTTTAATAAGTTATTAATAATTATTAATATTTTTAAATATATATTTTTAAGTATTCCATTGATTTAGGTTAGTCATATATAGGATATTCGTATTCCACAGACAAACGGATACCAATCAAAATATTGACGAAATCATAAACGTCATCTAGAAATCTTATATAATTTTCTTACAGTGCTACCAAATATTTCGATTTGTAAAAATTTTTCCCTAAAAAAATAATAATATAATATTAATAAAATAATCGAAATCATTTAAATGAAAATAAAAGATATTAAATATAGATACGGCATATAGTATTTCTTTTAAAATAAATGAAATATAATGTATATTAGTAGCGAGAGATTTTTTTAAATGACTGAATAATGGCTACTTTCAATTCTAGTATTATTTACTAACTAAACCAACGGATTTGCTATATATCTTCTGTATATGGTGGAACTTTGACGGATCTTATTTTTAACAAATAAGGTGCATTCTTTTACGTGATAATTTTCATGATTACATGTTATTTCAAGACAGCGGATTGGTCACGCATATATTGGCTACTCATATTTCTTTAGTGCGTATTCCTCTATAAGTTAAATAAGAGACGCTGTAAAATAGTATCATGTAACATAACCTCTTAAGTATCAGAATGAAAATATTTTATATTAAAAAATTGAATACTTTTTCTTTTATCAGGCGATTAAGATTGTACGATAAGCATAAATACTTCAATACACAAGGTTTATCTTACAAACTGTACTGATAATTTATTCAATGGGAAGTTTATTACAATATTTTCCTTCAAGTAAATATATGCAGAGACAAAAAAGACTATATAATCATCCAATTCCAGTGATTTAAAGATATTTCCAAGATATATCAAGGATTAATTTAAAATTAATGAAGAAAAATTGTGGGACTAAATAAATCAAGTTTGAAAATTTCTGAAATTTTAAATATCATGGTGACAGTAACCTCTTAATTTTAGCATCATAACAAGATGATACTAATGTTTACTTGATGATTGTGAGTAGAGATAAAGTCAATAAAAAATGCCACATCCGTGTGTTGTGTGTGGACGTTCGCGTATGAATCCAAATAATAAGGAGGAAGAATATATGTTTTTTGGTTTTCCTGTTAATGATGAGGAACGATGCAGGAAATGGTTGGAATTTTGTTGTCGTGAAGATTTATATAAACTTACAAAGAAGCAACTTCTGCAAAGAATGGTATGCTCTAAACACTTTGAACAGAAAGATTTTTTAAATGAATATTATGACAAATTAAATAGTACAGCAGTACCATCAATCTACGATCCAAAACAAAGTTTATATAATATTACATGTGTATTATGTGGTCGATATCGTCGGGATCCACCCGATTTAAATTATGACGGAGCTACCTTCCATCATTTCCCAGGAGAAGAATTTCGATGCTTGAAATGGCTTGATTTTGTTGGTGTAGATTCTTATTATAGATTAACGAGAAAAGAAATATTATTTTGTTATATATGTTCGAAACATTTTGATCGTTCACAGTTTATGCAAAGTTATAAAAGTAGATTAGTGGACAATGCTGTTCCCAATATTCGTAATCCTGATGATGCAGATTCATCGGAAGAATATATTTTGGGATTAGATACAGAAACAAAAATGTATAATACGATAGAGAAAGCAAAGAAATTAGACCCACTTCCATCTGCTGTTTTAGAAAGTCAAGCTTGTGCCGCATGTGGTAGATCTAGATCTGATCCAAGAAATAAAACTGAAAGGTATAAATTTCATCCATTTCCTGCTTATGAAATAGGAAGATGTTTAAGATGGTGCCAATTTCTGGGTAGAGAGGATTTATTAAAAATGTCTCCCAATCAAATAAGAAAATTAGTATTGTGTTCGAAGCATTTTCAAACAGGTCAAAGTTTTCATAAGATAGGTCCTTGTGATGCAGTTCCAACAATAAAGGATGTTTCTTTAACAAATTCTATAAATTCTAATGAAAATGCGCATGACGAAGAGATGATTGAAGAAACAAATGAGAACTCTACTACATATATTACAACTACTAAAGGAATAAGAAAATCAGGGTCTTCGACGCCTCTAGTATCTAGTAAAAAACCAAAGGTAGATAATAAGCCTACACCATTAGCAAAAAAGCGTGGCAAGTGTAGAAGGCCAACTGTAATTAACATTCCAAAGCCTGATCCTAATAATATTGAAAATCTGATGGTAAAAAAATTACCTTTGCCTCCTACTTCAAATTGGAAATTTCAATATACAGATCAATATCAGCCAATAACAATAGCAAATAATATTGCATCTAATATCACTAATACTATTCCTGGTAGTATAAAGAAAGTTATTTTACCTTTTACCGGTGATCTATCTAGTTTGGGTAATCCAATACCAGTACATAGTTTATCAAGCATTCCTCCTGGTTTATTAATCAAAATAAATCTTCCTGAGCAAGAGAAACAAAAACCTGTAAAAACTGGTAGAAGGCAGAGTAAGAAAAATTTACAAACGAAATTGAAGAATGATCAAGTAATCGCTAGTATACCAATAATTAAAGAAGAAGAACAAACTTCAGATAAAAACCTTATTGAATTGCTATCAGATTCTCCAGAACCTATAGCAAACACATATAAAACAATACAATTAGAAGAACACGAAGAAGATCAAGAACAAGACCAACAACAAGATCAAGATGATCAGGATCAGAAGCATGGAGAAATTATGCTACCGCATGATTTTGAAGTTTTAGAAGATGATGAAGATGCCATAAATATTAAGGAAAATGAATATTTTGAAGATTTTGAGGAGGTGGAAGCTTTACCTGTGAAACCACAGAAGAGAAATCGTAATCGAAGAAAAAAATTAACAATGCGAAGAACTATTTTTCCTATACGAAGTGAAGTTAAATATTTTCTTCGTAAAGTTGCTCCACACATGCATAAACTTCCTACGAAAGCAAGAGCACAGATAAAACTTTCTATTGTTAATATGGTGATTGATCACTTGTAAACCTTATAACTCATAATACTATTTTTCAAAAAAGAATTGTACATGATATATATGAAGTTTAAGATCTTTTTTGTATAAGAAATAAAATTATTATACTTATAAAGAATAGGCAGATATTTACAATTATTGAAACATTGACAACTATGTCAATATAATTTATGAAATATTATTTTTATGTATTTGTAAAGACTTAGTAACAAATGTTACAGTAAATACTAATGGTTAAAATATTTAGAAGATTTAGGTAGAGTACAAAATTTTTATCATTAAGCACTGTTACTTTTCTATAAAGGAAAAAAGCATGATCAGCATTAATTTGTCTTTAAATTTCCTGCCATTGAAATTATATGTTATGATCCTCATAAAATTTATAGTTACAAAATGTAAAACGCAGAAACTACACTTAATTTAAAACTGCAATTGTATCATACATGTTTGTATACATATATACATATATATATATGCATATATACATATATACATATATATATATATATATATATATATGCATATATATATACATATATACATATATATATATATATATGTATAAATATGTGTATATATAAATATATATGTAAGTTTTTTAATTAACAGTGATTGAAATCTATTGTGTTACTTTTTAACATATGTACATTTATAAGATTTATTGTAACATAATCTAAAACAAAATATAAGATGGAAATCATTTATGTAAAAATAATTCTCAGTTATAAATTGCAATATTATTAAAATTTAGTTTTCTTATGGGACAAAATTTGTAATAACCAACAAGTTAAGTAAACGTGTACATTATGTTATATGAGACAATTATTTTTATCTTAACAAAATCATATATCGTTTTTATTTTATAACCTATATAAAATTTTGAAAGTGAATGTTCAAGTTAATAAAGAAAAATAAAATAAAATATCATAGAGGATATTGTAAACAAAACTCATTATTAGTCTTTATTGATTATGCATTTTTTTTTATAATTAATAAGGATGATAACCGATAGTAAGAATATAATTTTCTGCCCAATCGCTAAAACATCCTTTTATTTTACCAAAGTGTGTTTCTGGCTCATTAGTCATTTTTACTGGTATTAAGCAAGAATCTCTTCCCCATTTGAAGTCTTTTTGCTTAATTACTCTACCTTTATGGGGAAGCATGTCAGTTAAAGTTGATAATTCTGTAGATTGAGTATTTAATCCTGCTGTATATAGATAACTTAAGTTGGGACGTAATTGCCTAAAAAAAAAGATAATTTATAATTTACATTTTGAAGTCCTTTTAAATGAGAGAAAAAATATTGCGAATTCTAACTTTGGTGATATAAGATCTAATAATATAGGTATCCATTTTTTTTCTATATTAGATGCATTAATTTCATCAAATTTACATTGAGTACAATAAAACATTGGTTTGTCAAATTCTTGGTTACGTTGTACATTATCTTTAATCCAAAAAACTGGAGTCGAAACAGTGGGATCTAATATATTGTAGAATCTTTAGTGTAGAACATAAATTCATTTATTTTTTTTTAATATTAAAAGAAAGTAGCTTACCTATCTTGAATTTAGGTATTATAGGATTTGTTGTTCCAATATTATACGGTTTAAAATTTTTAATAATTTCTTCATACTTAGTGCAATTGCATACTATACCAAGAGGTTGTTTTAATGAAGCTTCATGTAAAGTCATTTTTTGTGTGGAAGATGAGATATAAAATTTCGACAAAAAAAAAAAAAAAAAAAAAAAACAAAAAAAGAAAAAAAAATAAAATCAAGTTATACGAGAGAAAAATTATTATTTTATCACTTCTGTAATTAGAAATGTATATATAAGCATATTATACAATAATTTTATGAAATAGTTAAGATGGTTTAATTGATTATAGTCCTAATTAGTTTTTACTTTACAATGTTAATATAAATACAATATTTACATATAACCAGAAAGTGTTATAATTTCAAATGAAATTTCATTCTGTGATAGTCATCTGGTTACATCATGTTATACTAAATGCTATATTAAATACTATATTCGTGATTAATTTCATTAGTGAATTATTGTATATTACTTGCTGGTATAATTATCACTACACTATTATGACTATTGTTTACATAAATATTAATTTCAACATATTGTTCCAGCTTATTGTATGAAGTCTGTTATTAAATATAAAGAATATACTAGCGCAATATTTTTCTATTATACATTATGAAAATAAATTAGTATAAGTGATTTCAAAGCTAGCTTCAATTTATTTTTTTTTTTTTTTTTTTTTTTTAACACGAATAGTGAATATTTGGTAAAATATAATATTTATAACAAAGATATAAAGATTGTTAAATATGCATATAAAACTTGTAATAAAGTAACATTGTTTAGAAACTTATATATGCTTAGAATTTTTACAGTAAGTTTGAATTATACTGTATTATGTAAAAATAAGTGTATCAAGGTGTTTTTAAAGCTTAATTGAGATAATTTAATTTAGTGTAGATGTTATTTCAACCGCTGTATTCATTATTCTAACAAATATAACTTTAAAATGATGTCAAATACTTATAATGTTATCAACACATAAATAATTTATGTATTAAGACTAACTTCGTAAACTCTGTAATCTATTTTTCATTTCTTCAAGCTCTTTATCATCATCTACATCCTCTGTTTCTACTTCAACGGATGTTGATGCAACAACACCAGGAGTTTCTGTAACAACCGCAGGAGCTATTCCAAGTTGTCCTGCTGTAACTTCCCATAAAATCTAAAACAACAAAATCATTTGTATTATATGTTTAACACATTTAAATATAATTTGTTTCATAGATATTTAATTACTTTATCAACTTCTTCATCGGCTTCATCTTCCATATCTTCAGATTCTTCAATAGAATCCATGGTCTCATCTAACATCTCTTCGATAATACCAGCTTTCATCATTTCTTTTGATAATTCTCTCATAGTGGCTGCAACCTCAGGCACTCTCACTAACGATTGCATAGCTTGCATAACTTCTGTTGATTTAGATACAGAACCAGCAACTCTTATAGTTGCCAATTGATTTTTCATTTGTAATGATACTGAATTCAAATGAGCTTTTGATGTACACAATTTATTACACGCTTTGCGAGCCCGAATAATTTCTCTAGCAAGAATTTTACAAACATCTTTATCGTTCTTCTTAGCTGCTTCCTTTAATGAACGTTTCACTTTATCTTCCTCTCTCTGTATTGCTACGCAAAAATATTTATCAATAGTTTAGATATTAACAATTAATAATTACATTTTGTATTTAATAATATGACTCACCTCTAACTTGTCTATCTAAATTATAACCTTCTTTTCTTAATTTATGAGTCCACTCTTGGACCTGTAATAGAACATATTTTAAATAAAGGAAATATATTTTATCATATTTTAATGCTAACCATTTCTTTTGGATCTTTTTCTTGGGTTTTACCAAATAAACCCATATTATAATAATGTTAATAAAGCTGTCAAGTTTCGTCGTGTACAGACAGACACAAACACACATACACGACCTTGCATATATTGTACTGAATATAATTTTAAATACCTTCGTCACAGTAGGTCAAAAGATGTATAATGTGTGTAGTATGAATATTGCTTACCTGTTCATATCACTCTCTGCATTATCTACAATCGAATTGTAGTGCTCGTACGTAGTAGTATTACAATATTCTTAATATATTCGTAATAATCTTGTTTTTCTTTTCTTTTTATTTTTATTTTTATTTTTATTTTTACTTTTTAATTTTTTTTTTTTTTTTTTTTTTTTTAAGAGAATTGTTAATAATCAATAAAAAAAATTTCCTTATGAATATATTTATCATGGAAATGAATAAGAATATCGTGCAGACTTTAGTCCAATTGATTATTAATTAACTGTTCGAGATATAAATAAACTTATTTAATAAAGTTTTAAATAAATTAGAAAAGTGAATGAAAATGTCGTAATATAATTTATAAAAGGGAAAGGATCAATTGATTTTGGATTGATTTTTTTTTTCTTATTTTATTATTCTTTTAAAAATATTAAAAAAGAAGGATATATAATTTATTTATACTATATATTTATACGGAGACGTTATTCAATTGACAAATAACGTTCTTAACCAATTTATTATATTTTTTAATATTTCCGTACTATTGTTTGAATTTTGTTTAATGGCACGTTGTTGTCTATAAGGTTCATAATTTTTCTGCATTCTCTTAACGAATTTCATCCTTTGAAAAATAGGATTGTTTCTTTTAATTTTTGGATTTTCATCGCAATAAGTATTTTTTGCTTCTCTGACGTCATCTATCTCTGTATCATCAAGATTTAATTTCAAATTATATTTCTTAGCGAAAGCCATAACGGGCATCGTTAAAATTTCCGAATTATTCTCATCCGAATCGTCTAATTTTTTATGTAATATCATCGATCTAGGTGTTCGTTGTCTCAATGGATTTGATTTCATGATTGTCGACCTTTGTTCAAAATATTGATTATTTTTCTTATCGAAAGTTTTATTATCATTATTATCATTGCTAATTTCTTCGATACTTCTTTTTATTAAACGTACATTTCCTTCGAGTGGTACACAACATGGACAATTCTTTTTTAAAACATCCTCACATATCTTTCTCGAGATCAATAAGATATACGAATCATCTTTCAGTTTTTTAATTTCCAATGGAAATTTCACATTGTCTCCTATGTAATACAATTCTGAATTTTGCAAATCTTGCAAATTGTTTTTGTCATTGTCGATATCATTCGTTTTCGTTTTAAAAGCTTCTTCCTTGTAAATGATATCTTCTTCAGAATCGTAATCTCGATGATTTAAATTTTTATAAGTCTTTGCGTTATCATCGTCACTCTCGTTAATATCTTCTGTATTTTCATTCGTTTCAAAATTATTCGTAATGTCGTCCATTTCGGGAGCTTTCGAAATTATCGGATTTCTTTCGAAAGAAGCATCCTCCATTCCCTTTGATCTATAATTCTGTTTCGTTGTTTTAACCCTTTTGTTGAACTTAGTAACATTTTCATGTGTACTGGTACAATTTTCTATCTTACAAAGACGACGTTTTTCTTTTTCTTCCAAGAATCCTTCATTAGCCGAATCAGTCTCATTAATTTTAGGATTATCAACTCCTACAATAGAATTTTGTGATAATCTAAGTACTTCCGATTCATTAGCTTTCACTTTATTGCTGTTACTTTGATCCAATTGTGTTTCAGATTGAGACATTTCAAGTGTTTCTTCATTTATGTTTGCAACATTACTCGTGAACGTTGTTTCGTAAACATAAATGGATTCTGTGCTTTGATATTTTTGTAGATTTTCTTCGTAAAATTCAGTACTGTAGGTATCACGAACATCATTCGAATAATCACTTGGTTGTATTTTATTTATAGTCATTTTTGGAAATTCTTTATCTGTTATAAAATCGTCATAGTACGAGTTGGCCAATGAATTATCGGTCGTACTTTCTAAAGTTTCGAATCTATTATCTTTCATAAAGATGTTTTCTGTCGTCGTTTCATCATAATTATTTGTACCTTCCATCGTCGAAATATTTTCAGAATTAATTTTTGTCTTACGTTTATTTGAATCATACGAATTATCTTGTAAAAAATTTCCTAAAATATCACGAATCGTGTCTTCTTCTATATCCATATCGTTAGCATTTTCCATTTGATGTTTCGCAGCTTGGATGATGATATTTTGCACAGCATTTTTTTTAGCTGATTCCAAACCAATCGCAGGATTATAAATAAGATCTTTTAAATGATTTTGTAATCTTCGAGAAATGTCTTGTTTTTTTGTTCGTTCGGACGATGTAAGTGGAAGAAGAGTCACCAAGTTTGTCGTCCAATGTCCACCCTGAAATTGATGTTCCTCAACGGTCATTGGTGGAAGTTCTGATTGCATGTTCGGCAAACGATTCAATGTATTTCTAAGAGTTTGTTTAATCACGTTATTCGATTCCTCATCGAACAATGCGTTTTTAGGTAAACCGATTATTTTCGATAAGTGATCTTTCACTTTTTTTATGATTACATTTTCAACTGGTGTCAGCGATAAGAGAGATCGTAAATTTGGAATTCCAACGATTTCTGGTGACAGTTCAACATTATCGGCAATTTTTGTAAAATCCTTAGGATATCCGAGATTTCCATCGTTCGAATTGAAATTATTTATTATTGTTTTAATAGAATTTGCGAGTTGTGCATCGTCATAAAATGATAAATTTGGCGTAGTCGATTCAACGTCATATTTTAAAATGTTCTTAAGTATATTAACTTCTTTATCAGTTTTCGTATAATCTGCGACGAACGTGATCGGATTTAAGGTGGTGTCAAACTCTTCAGATAATTTAACGAATCCTCCTTCGTTAGATAATCCAACGATAGAATCATTAATTTTGTCACGAGTTTCTTTTTCAGTTGCAATTTCTGTTGTTGTTGTTCTTACTGTTGTTTCTTCGGTCGTAGATAAGTCGTGGTTTGAAGTTTGAAGTTTTATCTCGTTTGTAGTAGAAATTGTAACAGGAATTTCGTAATCATTGATCGTTGTTTTTTTTTCATTTTCTGTACATTCTATAGGTGAATTAATATCGATTGATAAAGTACACAGATTTGAAATATCTGTCGAATAACCATCAACGTTATTCGTTTTATAATCTAAAGATGACTTGGTGTATCCTAAAGATGAATCGATAGTAATTTGTTCTTGTTCTGTTGTACTTATAAACGAAGATAAATTTTGTGTGTCGTATTTTAATCCTGATTCCTTTTTTTTTGGATTATTCTTTACATCTTCCCGATTTTCAATGTTTTCTTTTCTTAACGAATCATTGTTATCTTCTGTAATTGTTTTATCGTCATCTAGATTATTTTCTACAGTCGAATTGATTGAAATTTGATTTTCAATTAAATCCGAATTGATTTCAGTGGATAATACATTTTGTGAATTAGCTCGATCGTTCGTTACATCTGGAATGTTTGTAGCTTCCACGTTCGGTGAATCATCGATTAAATTCGTTAGATTATTCTTAGATAAATGATGATCGTAAGTAAATAGATCGCTATTATAACCATTCTCATCGAACTTATCGTAGCTTTGCGAAGTAAAATAACTATTTGTTATTTCTTGTATATCCGAATAATCTAATTCAGAGTGCGTTATATAATGTGTCCCATCGTCATTTAAAATGGTATCGGTTAAGTTATTGTCTTCATTAGTAACCATGGAATCATTGAAATTGATATTATTTGTTATTGCAGTTGACGTTGTATATTCGATATCATTGATTACGTTAGAATCAATTAGAAGAGTCGTAGATAATTGATCTTGTTCTTGTGAATTTTGTGTTGCTTGAAGAATAGACATTTCCGTGGGATTCACGGTCGTATATTCTTGTATTTTTATATCTTCATCGGAAGTATAATACGTTGTTGATTGCTTTGTGAATGAATCGTCCGTCGAAGTTGTATAGTTATCGGTATTAGTTATGATGTATTCTGAAGTTTCTAGGATAATATTCGATGTTGTTGAATCGTGATTATCTTCGTTATAATTTTCGGTCGATTGTTTTTTATATATTAGATTATCGTCAAAATTATTTTCCTTAGAATCTATTAATATATCGGACATTGTAGAATCGTAATGATCTTCGTTAATATCGTATGTACTCGATTGTTCGGTAGTATCATACCGATTACGAATCGATCCAATGTTTTCATCTTTCTGATCTTTATTTTTATTCAAATATTTGCAAGATGTTGCAGCAGCGAGGAGGCATACTTTACGACCATACAATTTTATACATTCTAACATATTTGCATCGAACGAATTCTCATCGATTTCTTTCATTGAATTTAGGTCATTCTCTTCGTGCTCAGGATAATTCATGGTCGTCGAGAAATCATTGTTTCTTTTATTGTCGTTAAGAATCGATGTATTCGATTTTTGAAGAATTTCAGATTGATTCTTTGTCGCAAGAATATATTGCTTAAGCAGTGTTTGTTGTTTTTTATTTGAATTTTGTTGATACTCTTGAGAAACCGGTGCATTCATGCCGACATGAGGTTCGCCTTGTTCGTAAGTAACTCTGAAAGGTACAGTTAACGGATAAACGCGAGGTGATATTCCATGAATTATCGGTAAAATTTGTATCTTCTCGGAATTCGGATAATTCGATTTTAAATCATAAGGAATTTCTTCATAAAGTTTCGACAAGCGTAACGGTATTTCCGTTATCTTATAATCGTTTGAATTAATTTTTCGATATTTATCACCTTTCGCTTTATTATTTGGATCCTTCAAATGAGATTTAAGCAATTTTCTTTTCGATTGACAATCCTGACAATTTTCTTTATGACAATAGCACACTAATCTTTTTGAATTTTCACGATATTTCTTATCAGACGGATAAGAAGTCTCATAAGATTCGATGGAAAGATTTTTCTCTGATGATAGTTCAACGTCATTGTTTTTGTCGGTTGACTCTTTTTGACGTTTTTCACGAATTTCATTCAAAAACTTAAAATCTACGTACGGTTCTTTATTTTTTTCAGCTTTTACCGTCTTATCCTTATACTTTTTAGTTAATGGTATACTCGTTGTAGTATAAAGTGCCGATTTTCTACGTTTTATTGTTTTACTTTGGCGAGTTTTCTCTGTTATTTCATTATTTACATTCTCGTGTTCCTCTTCAATCGGTAGTAGAAATATAAAGGATCTTTTATCTCTTGCAAATCTTCTATTCGAAGAATATTTGTCGGTGATGGATAATCTATGAAAAATAAAAATGTGGAATAAATAATATATATATATATATATATATATATATATATAATTCCACGATATTTGATTTTGCAAAATAATCATCGTATCTGTTCTATTTAATATCTACATATATGTACAAAATTTCAAAGTTATTTATATAGTTCGAACTAGAATATTTCGAATTCATTAACATACTTTTAATTAGAATATCAAAAACAATTAATATATGGAAAATTTTGACAAAGACATTTTAGAACGGAATATATAATAGGAATAATTAATTAATACTTTAATTTTATTTTTAATAAAATTTTAATTTTTATTTGAATAAAAAACTTACCCCTTTTCATTGACATTCTCAAAAATATTGTCTGGTTGTTCTGAACTAATAATACCGATGGCACACAATAAATAAATTATTATTATTTTATACATTTTTATCGATTGAATAATAAATTTTGTTAAACTGTAATATTTCTAACGAACCATCTAATATTCATTAAATTCATGTTATGTATTACTTGTGTAACTATTATCTTTTAGGGGTTTTAATAAAAATTTATGTTCAATAATAATCGTTTTGTATGGAACTGCAACCAAATATACGCGATCACTATTCTCTTTAACGTCGTAATTTTTTCTTAAAAGCAATTTTTGATGAAGGTTTCATATATTTGCTATCGTTGCATAATTATGCAATCGAAATGTTTGATTAATAATATTACGAAATATAAATTCATGTCATTTGTTTCAAACAAGACAAGGTTTTCTTATTATTTACATAAATTGTTGTTACTCGCTCGATAGTCTTTAAATAACAATATGCAAAATATATTGTTCGTAAATTACCTTTCTATCTTCGATACTTTAATAAACAAAATGAATACCGCAACGGCAGTAAAAAATATAAAACAAAGTAATGTGATTATTTTTTATTAAAATAAATATTATCTCACGACTTTAATTATAATTTTAATTAATAAGATAATATTTCGAGATTACATTGTAGAATTTTTATATTATTAATCTATAAAATATACGTTCTATGAAATCTATATTCGATGAAATAACAACAAAATAAATTGTTAATCAACGCTACGATGAAAAAATATTTAACAAATTAAATATTTTCTTCAAAATATTCACTCGTATAATTTTTAAATTAATGTTATCATTTAACGCGCCTAAAAACGTAGCTTCTTATTGGTTGTTGAAAAAATTAATTCGCATGCATGCTCACAGATGGCACTGTAGTTGATCTTTTTAATAAACCGTTATTCAAATTAAAAAAAAGAAAAAAAAGAAAAAAGAAAGAAAAAGAAAACATTAACGCAGCTAATTCATACTAACAAAGTTTATAAACAAAATTAAGATTTATTAATCAAACATTAAATATCATATATTCACATAACTATTTAATCATAATTATTTATTACAATATGGTACGTACTATTTAACAGAAATTCATGATCAACCAAAGAGTAAACATATCAATTTTTTCTTTTTCTTTTTTTTTT